GCATTTCCGTAACTAATCTCATTATCGTGTGGATACAAGCAACCAAATATTGCCTTAATTACGGTCACACCAAATTACAACAAAGAGTCCTCGATTTCTCGAAATGGACCACACCAGCTGTACACTCACCATAATTCTCCAAATCTAAAACTAGAATTAGTTGGCAAAATTTACTATAATTTCTAACTTCTAGGGAATTTTTTAGTATTTATTTAAAAGATAAATTTACCGTACCTAATCTTGTATTTATGATAACTAGATTTCAAACCTCCACCACATCTGGGATTTCACGGAGTCTTTTTTTTTTTTTTTTAAGACCTTGGAATGAACAACTCGTAATTTTCAAGGTTCACCGAGTTTCTCATGTCAGTTGTCATGATTAAGAGTATCTCCATCCATGAGATGTAGTGGATATCATTAGATATAAAATTATTAAAATTTGAGTAAAAGAAAAAAAGAAAATATTTTTGGTTGAAATAATAGAATGTATTAAAATATAAAATTAATAAAATTTAAGTAAAAAGAGGAGATGAGTTGATACTTTTGGAGTGAGAGTGTCTTTGTATCAATGGGTTGATACTTTTAGAGAGAGTTTAAACTTTAGTTGGGGTGTGTTTAAATATAAAATTAATAAAAATTGAATAAAAGGATGAAAGAAAAGGTATAAAGTTGAGTAAAAAGAAGAAAAAATGTGTGTTTTAATAATTTTATATCTAATGATATCCACTATATCTTATGGATAGAGATGCTCTAAATACATTATCTATAATTTAATCATAAATAATAATATGTACTCCCTTTATTTCTTCAATATAGGATGTTTTAATGGTTTTTGTTTATTTGTTAATATAAGATATTTTTACTTTTCAATGCATAATTAATTGATTTTTTAATATTTTTAATTTTTTAAATTCTGCAGATTAATTTATTATTGGTTAAAACATTTTGAATAAATAAAAAGTGATGTTTTATTTCAGAAAATAAAAAAAAATTAAATAATTGTTTAAAAAAAGTGCAAAAACCTTAAATCTCCTATATTAAAAAAACAAAGCGAGTATAATTTATCTCACACGTCCCACTACAAGTAATTTTTTATAGTTTGTTTATTAATGAACAACTCGTAAATATGATTCTCTCCCCAACCACATCTCTTCGACATTGAGATCTGCGCACCATTCGTGCTTTAAATCATGAATGTAAATGATCAAAATACAATTATTGTGCGATGCGCCCATGCATATATCCTAAATGATCTTTGTATCTACTTCTCCATTCATATCAATTTAATATTTTACTGTATATAGATGAAATAACATTCAATGTCTTATATCATGTAGGGAAATATTTAGGTATCTTTATTTGTTGGTTGAGGAAATCCTTTGCTTGAAATTATTTGTTTCTTTACTTAGAAAAAAAAAATTACCAAGATTGATAGATTTGTTTAGGCTATGAATATGATGAGGTTTCAATATGTAACAAGAAAGGTAATCAAGCCCCTGTTACCTGACAGTAATGTTTTTGTTTTTTTCTGAATTCTGAAGCAAATAGATGCGAATTTTAAGGATATGAGTAAAAAGGGTGGTTGGTTGTTTACTTGCATTTATTAACCGAAGTATTGTTCTTTTCTTTGGTCAATGGTTAAAACTTAACCGAAATGTTGGATATGAGTAAATTCAAACTAGTATCTATGACATGTGAGAATGGGATATTTTGATAATTTAGTACATACACTAATTAAAAACAAAATGAAATTGAAAAGAGAATATAATTCAAATCTTACTCAACCAAAAAGATGAACAACTTGATCACCATGATTGATATTCGTGTCTTTATTTATTTGAATAGATACGTAAATTTTACATAATGATCAATGTTTGAGAGGTTCTATGTCGTCTTAGTACTACATATGCATGATCGAAAAGGTATCGTTTGCCGGATAATCTAACTTGTCGGGTCGGATTATATAACTTCCTGCATGCGATCTATTCTGTAGTTGATCGATCATGCATGTTTCATCATTTTTTCGGTTTTAAGATTTTTCTTAAAGTTGGCGCCCGATCAAAGGTTATCAAAATGTTTAGAGTAGCTGGATTACGCATATTACCAAACTACAAAACGTTTGAAGCGGAAAAGGAAAAACTTGGTTTAGGTCGTTATCCAAAAAACACAAAATCACAAGAAAGAAATCATGTTCTTGCTTATTCATTCAAGATATACATTTATTGCATGAGAACCTCCTCTTCTTCTTCTTCTCACTCCTCTCGTCTCTTACTCGATCTATGGACCTCTATAAATGT